TATCAGTGAACTGTTTTTTTAAGAAAATTGTAATAATTGACCTATCATTTTAAACTAGTCATATTTTGTTTATTTTATTAATCAATTTTATTTCACAATGTTATTTTATTTTGTCTAATATGACATTTCAAAACTAACTTCAGATTTTCTATAAGATATACATATATATTTCTTTTATATACTAGTATAATTTAACTCAAAGAATATATAACTATCAAAAAGTACAAATCAATTAAATAACATATAAGGTAAACGCACTGGTAGTGGACACTGCGTTAGTAGTGGACACTTTGAACTTCAAATATGAGTAATAAGGTTGTTGATGGCTTCACTGTTCAAACATACAAATCATTCAGTAGACAGAACCCTCTAGTGGTGGTAACTCGCACTGATCCTTTTCTAGTGCATCATGGGATGTTTTCCCGCGCTCATTAGTGATGGCATTCCTGCTGATATAAGAAGACAAGTGAGTCTGCTGTCTGTTTCCTTAAGGTCTAGGTAATTTAAATCACGCTTGCTGTATTAACAGTTAGTTTCACGGAAGTTTTTTGGTGATATACTATTAATATGAGCTTCGTTGGTATGTTTTAAGACCTTCCTGATAGTATTTTTATTTTCCAAGTCAATTGAATGAGATGTCCACTAATGAAACAAAAATATTGTATATTTTTAGTAGTGGACAAGAGGTGGCCACAACTAGTGAAAATGAACTTTTCACTTTTAATCAGTATCAAGTCAAAAATTAAATCACCTAATGTTAAGTAACATACAGTATTGATTCAAGCATTTTTTGGTTACTCTGTCTAGTCATGGACAGGGGGTGTTCACTATTAAACCGTGAATGTCCGTTTATTGAAATGAGGTGTTTCAATAGTGGACAAAACATGGTTTGGTGCCATGGGATCCTACAGCACCCGGTATGCTAAGTAGGAAAATAATGTGCAAGAAGAAGTCAGACAGTACTCTCACGAAAAGTGATGTAAGAGTTGGTTTTGAAACATTAAAAATATACATGGGACCTGAGAAAGTGGGGTTATTTGAGACTGTAGTTTCTTTTGAAGATGTTGAGGCTACAGACAAGTCCCTGTTCAATTTATGGCACCAGATGAAGACAGACATCATGAATCAAGTAACAGCTGGAAACAACAGCAAATCCTTCAACAATAATGAATCAGAACATGAAGATTCGACGGTTGAAACTTCAAATCAATCGCAGCCATGAGATAAATGATGTCAGTAACACCAGTGCATTTAGTGATTCATATATTCATGATATTCATAATGACTACCACTATCAAAATGAAAGACCTAGTACTTCAAACACTGGCAATACCATTGTTGCCACAAGTACACACAATAGCCGCAATAACAGTCAGATCTCTGAAACAGTACCTAGTCCTTTCAAAAGGTCACTTCTCTGGTCAGAACCCAGGGAAATCACTAACAAAAGGAAGAAAAAGGAAATCATACCTTCTGTAGTTACGTCAAAAGCTTGGCAGGAATATTATGAAAATAAGGAAAAGAAGAAAATAGTGGAACTAGAACTGAAAAGGGAGAGAGCTTTGGCAAGACAGAGAAAGAAAGAACAACAGACTGCTGAGAATAAAAGGAAAGCTGAAGAGAAAGCTATGAAAATGAAAATGAAGACTACAAAGCAACGAAAGAAGAAAATGAGAAAGGAAGAGACATCATCAGAAGATGAAGGTTCTTGGATTCCCTCGGATGGTGGTAGTACAAACGATGTTACGTTAGATGTAGAAGACACTATGGAAGATGAAGAAGAAGAAGACGACATTATGCAGTTTCAGGAAAATATTGAACCCCCTTCAAACGAAACTATTGGACCAAGTTCAGCAATTAAGGAATCGAAAGATACAGAAGAAAGGGGAGAAAGTATTGAAGGGACTTTAAATTGGACTCGGAGGAAGGATATGTCCGAAAGACACAGTCGGAATACCATTGAAAAGGAAAGGGAATCAAACATCCTGCATGAGAATGATTTTGTAGTTGCCACCTTGTCTGGTAAGAAAAGAAAGTACAAATGTGTGTGCAAAATTACCAGTTTAATCAGTGATAATATCGCAGAAGTGATTGTGTTTAATTCCATAAATAGGATGAAAAGCGTATTTGCTAAAAATGAAAAAGATGTACAAACGATAAATATTTCTCAAATTGACTTGAGGCTTCCTAAGCCTCTAATTTTTGGAAGAGAGAGTCACTGTCAATTCTCGAAAGGCATTGACATAGATAAGTAGTTCAACACAAATTAACAATGCAACAATATTTCCTTAAACTATGCTGACGTTAATATTTGAGTTCTCCTAAATGTAACTTAGAACCCAGTTTTATACTATTATTTTTAAGTGTTTAATATTGAGTGTAACAATAATCCATTCCAGTATGTTAAAACTGATCTCATTTATTTCAACATTTGTATTCGTTAAGAATAATGTAACAATAACAAAATAAGAAAGTTTCTTATACTAACTTTGTAATGTTTTATATTTATGTTTCATAATACTTATTAGTTCAATTTTCATATAAACATTACAAACTATACACATGTAATTTACATTTGTACAATTTGATATTTTAATTAATTTAATTAAATTATGAGTTGTCATTATAATTAACACAGTGTTCTTGTTCTTTATAGTAAAGACTGTCAAATTCTGCAAGTTGTGAAAAATAAAAACGATTTCATCTTGAATATAATCATTTCTATATTCCTTGTCCACTACTGGTGCAAATGCCTGTCCATTACTAAATATCTCAATTTTTTCAATGTCCACTACTGAAACATTTTCAACCTTACAAAATAAATTAAATTAAAATGTATTCGACGAGACTGACATAATTAAAATCCTTACAGTGAGTGAAGAAAGAATTTTGTCTAACAGACAATATAACTTTTAAGCCATAAGGCTTCCAAATAGGGGTCCAGTTTCAAAAAAGTCGAAAAATTTTCCTTAAAGTGTCCACTACCGGTGCGTTTACCTTATATAGTTCAAAAAACCAGATGCAATTATCAACAAAATGTACACTTGAAACCAGAAAATCCAGTAACATTTTAATGAGTAAACTAATGTTTTTGACTGCTTTCAGTGATCATCATCAGGTTTAATTACATTCTATAAAGAACTAAACTTGAAAAAAAATTTGAAAATGATGAAACAAGCATTTGATTAGCTGTGAGCATCACTGACTATTTACAGATCAAAAAAATTTTTAGGTGACATCAAAAAAGACCCTTTATGCTTGCAAGATGATTCAGCATTCTTATAATTTATGGTCATAACTTTTCAATTGACTTTGTATATCTCAAGTTTCTCCAAATGCTTCTGGTGGAATACTCCCTGGTTGGATGTATAATATGTGCCTTGTCAAAGGAAACTTGAACCTTGTGGTCTGTTGTGAAGGCTGTTAGTGTCATGATGGAGAGACCCATTTTAAGGAAGTCTCGTGTTCTTTCAATTGAAGACTTAAAAAGTGTACGGTAATGCCTATGTACTCCCATTTTTGGCTGACTCTATTATCCATTTTCAAATAAATTAAAAAAAGGTAACTTTCTCTAAAAATTTTCTTTAATGTATTGTTATTACATCACTTTTATTATAATTATTCTTGTAAACTTTTGGTAAATAATATATATTTTACAATTTAAATAAGACACATCAAAAGTCAAGTTATAAGAGTCTCATAATATTTTACAAAATCTTGAAAACAAAATAATTAATGCATAAAATAATTTTACATAATATGAGAATAGTTTACACAAATACTTCAAGAATCTATTTTTTAATATTAACTTTTATTGTAAATTAAATTATTAAATTTAAATCTATTAACTTTTATTAAATTTTATTCTTTGACAAAAGTAATTGTGAAAGAATAAAATTGATCAAGCATCTCTCACTGATAAATTCTCTTTAACTTGAATTTTAAGCATCTCTTTTTTAGTATTTTAGATGTAAAAATTTCAAAAGACAAGTTCATCTTTTCATGTTCAAGTCAGTCAAGCCTGAAAGACATCATCTTGGTCCTTCAAAATGTGAAGAAATAATAGAATGGAGTCAAACAGACAGACATGAAATATAAAGTTCAGAACCATGAGTATTAATTATTATACACTATAAAGACTTATTTCAAAGAATTGCAATATCAAATGATGATCACTATCATTGATTAACTGTTATAAAGTCATAGGAACATGCAGTACATCAATTATTTTAGAATTTGTAATATCTAATACATTCTCCTAAAATAAAATTGTAATCAAAAGCTTTATCTGAGATTTCTATAAGTGATAATTTATAGTATGGAATTGATTAAAGCTCTTTCTGGAAGAATCCATTTAAAAAAGTTAAATAAATCAGATATTTCGTTTACTTATACAATTTTTATTGTATTGTATTATATTATAAACAATCTTCGTACAAAGTTTCTTTTAATTCATAAATGTACTTTTTGACATACCTAAAAATTTTTGATAAGCAATGTATAAATAAATTCTACTTTGCAAAAACTTCTGACTGTTGTTTTTAATTGCAAATTTAAAGTACCATTGATTTAAGACATATCTCCATTTTAGACTATCAGAAAAATTTCTAAAATATGTATCTTAGAAAAGGAAATGCAATAATTAAAACAATTAATATTATAAATAATGTATATAATTATATATTTAATAAAATGTAACACTATCAAAAGCTGGAAAATAATATAACAATTCACAGACACCTTTCATACTTATTCCAGCAAGTACATTTTTTAGAAAAAAAAAAACGTTTTTGGTCACTCTGAGGGACTTTCATCAGTTTATCATACATGTATATTCTACAATCAAATGCATTTAATCAAATTCCAAATGAATTTCTAAGTTTATCCTAGTAAGCATACCTGCTGGAATAAGTATGGAAGGTGTCTGTGAGTTATAGCAAAATAGATATAATAAATATTATGAATGAATAATTTTGTATTTTATTAAAAGATAAACTCACCATTATTCACTTTAGAGTCACTACCAAAAGCATTTTTCTTCATTTCTACTACTTGCATATTACAGTTATCTATCTGATTCAGTGACATGCAAATTTTCCTTTCCATATTACTATTTTTTATTCCTTCACATTTAATAAATATATCATCTTCATCTTCCAAAGTTTTTAATTTTGATAAATCATCAGAAATTACTCTTTCAAATGTTGGCACTTTTTGACATAATCTTTTTTGACTAGAGAACATATTATCTTCAGAAGCAGAGCAAACTAGTCTTCCAGACTTTTGAGATCCCACACTCGTTATATTTTTCACAACAGTTTCTGTTGACATGCTGCGACGTGGTTTTTGGGAAATTTTAACCTGTGAATCTTTTACAACTCCTCCCTTTTTTTCTTTATCTTCTTCGATAATATCATTTTGACGTGCTTCTCGTTCAAGTTGTTCATCATGACTAATACTTCTTGGTCTAGTTTGATCATTGCTCCTTCTACTTGTTTTTCTTCCTCTTACAGACTTTGTTTTCCGTGGATAAGTAGAATATTTTTCATCTCCAGATTGTTCTTCATTATCTTTTTGTTTCTTCAATTTCTGAAAGATTTATATGAATTTAGATGAAAGCTTTTTATACAGAAGATATATTTTCCTTATACACTATTTTCCTTAATACTTTCCATTTTTAATAATATTAATTTTAAATAACATTAATTAGTAGTAAGTAATTCAGTTATGCCATAATTTATGTAAAAATTAAGCTGTAAAAATTGTTCTTATTCTATTTTTGTCAGGAGTACCTAAAGACTACAATGTGTTAATTATCAAAAGTATTTGTGAATAATATTTTTACAACGTGTAATTTTTGAGTAAATTTATTGTTTTTGCAAGATATTTTAATTTTCATATAACTAGAACATATTGGTGAATGCTCCTAACATTTTAATTATTAATTAACAAATAGCATTCAAAATATCAATTTTACTTCATAAACAACATATTCATCCAAAAAAATCAAACAGAAATAATGCATTTAGTCCTGATGAAAACTATATTTTTTTGTAATTTATTAACTGTCCTAAAGCAATGATTCCCAATTAGTGGTACGTGTACCCCTGGGGGTACGCAAAATTGCATGAAGGGGTATGTGCGGCAATCTAAAATTGGTCGATTTAAAATTTAAATGCATGAGATAAAGCAATCAAAAGAATAATGGGTGGACCATCAAAAATTTGGAAATTTACAACAAGATGTCAAATGCACAAATTCGTTTATTTATAACTAAAAATATTCTTGGAATTTCATCAAAAAAATGCATTTGTGACAATACCTAAATGAAATTCTTACGCAAGAAACAAAAATTGTACAATTAACACAAATTGTGTTAATTGTACAATTATCATTATCATCATGTCAACGAAGCGGCAATAAAATATTTACTACCATTTTGCACAACATACCTCTGCGAGAGCATATTTTCGGTCAATACAAACATGAAAACTAAACATCGTCACCAATTTCAACTCGAAGATGACTTGAGACTGAAGCTGACCAAAAAAGCAACCAGATTTTACAAAGTTGTGCAAAGAAAATTGTGCTCATTTGTCACATTAAAATTAAATAACCTTATGTTATTTTCATTATTATTAGAATTGTATTTTAAAGGTAATAAATGTAAAAAAAAACTTATCTATTTATCACTAGCTGTCTACCCACAGCTTCGCTTGCATTATATCGAATCAGAAGATATTCATGAANCAAAATTTTATTAAAACCTGTTCAGTGGTTTAGACGTGAAAAGATAACAGACAGGCAGAATTCCCTTCAAATTTATAATATTAGTATGGATTAATATGAATTTCTGCTATAAGTGGTATGTGAGTTTGAGCTCTTTCTTGAAGTGGTATGCAGGAAAACTAATTGGAAACTACTGTCCTAAAGCTATCAAACAGATTTATTTTATATGGAACTTCTAACTTTATTCTAAAAACATTTAGCTTTAATTATATCATTTGCTCATTTGACATAATTTATCTAACAACTCCTGCTAAAAATCAATATAATTTCTCTATTTTGATCTTAGTTTTTCTTTTTAGTAGAGATGTAGTTTATATGCTAAGATTTATATTTGGATATTATTTGCCTGTTATTTATAAAACTTTTATTAAAAGTAATCTATTATTGTTTTATAACTTATACAAGAACTTTATAAAGTTCATTCTTTTGTAGCAATTATTTCCAATTTTTTTTTTTTTTTGAAGACAGCATCCCAACTGGCTTATTTTTGTGCATAACATCTTATACCCAATAATTTATTTAAACTTTAAAAACTCTATTGAATGTTGAATCTTGTAATATCTCTATAAGCTTATTGTGATACTCTGAATACTGCAAAACCATACTAAAAACAGTGGTTTTTAGTATGGTTTTATAATGTTTCTAGAATATATAATCTAAATAATGAACAAATATTTTTTTAAAAATATCAGAAATATAAGTAGATAACAAAGCATTATGCATTTTTTTTTATGTCATTAGCCTATCCTTCAAAATAATATTTCTGTTTAAAAATTAAATAATCAAATTTAAATTTACTGGTAAATTAAATTTTCAGTAGTATATCATAAAATCGATTTAGTCTATAATTCAGAATGTTTATTTTTTGTTTCATCAAAGAAATCGTAATTAAAAGAAATAGAAATATGTAATCTTAATGGTTGTATTGAATGTAATAAATATTATATTTAAATTAGAGGTATAATCCCAAAATTTATGAAATATTTCATATTCATTAAAGAGTCTACTAGTTATCTATTCAAACAACTAAATGCAATTCTAAAATGAATTAGAAAAAATTGGAGAAAAGGTACAAAAAAAGGAAAACAGGAACATTTTAAAGCTATACAATCAACTATTTTAAAAGACAAATGTCATCTCTATAGCAATGTAACACAAACAATAGGTTGTCAGGGAGTCACTCATTTTGAATTATTAATGTTCCACACATATTTGAAATAACAATGATTATTTCCTATTTTTTCCTCTTTCTTACAGAATCAATTATTTGAGATTAGGTTTACTATACTTTAGATTTGAAATAAGAAATGAAAAAGATTAAATGAAAATTGCTTGTTTTCTTGGAAAATTCTTGTGTTTTATAATCAAAAGAAAATTTAATTATTGATTCAAAAATAAATAAACATCTTAAAATCTTTTTATTACTTAAAAGAATATTTTTTTGTCATATTATTTTATTGTGAAAAGCAACATAAGTAAACTACTGTAAGACTAAATTTTGGATATTTTTTAAAATAATTGCAGTTCAAAGTTAATAAAAAAAATTGGAGAGAAAAATTATTATGTTAAAAATTTAAATTATTAATATGGATTAGTTATATTTCATAATATTAATATTCATTTAAAAACTTTATGGCTAAAAATAAAAATTTTTTCAAGGAACACATTTGTTACAAATAAAATACAAAAGACAAGATTAATTTGAATACTATAATTTAGCAAAAAATACATCTTAAAGAAGAAAACTGAGAATAATTTAATACTTTCATTACAATACTTGACCTCAAAAGTTTTTGAAATTTTTCAGTTTGTAAAATTCTTCTGAATAATTTCATTTACAATGCTTAATTAAAACTTACTCTTTGTAAACTAGACAAACGAGGTGGTGGTGCTGTTGGTTTCTCAAATTCAAAAACAATGACAGCAGCTGAAACAAAGATGAAAAACTAATTACACCTATATGATAATTTTTAAGAAAACAAATACATGCAAGTTTATATACGTAATTTTAAAATATTATTTAGGATTTTTTTTATATTTATTGATATTTGCAATTTTATCTAAATAAAATTATTCATAGCAACTGCAAATAAAATATTTAATCTGAAATATTAAATATTTAACTATATAATAAAATATATAGTAATCACTTAGTACACTAATTTTTATATTTTGAAATACAAGAATATTTTATAAATTTTCATAAAATTGTTACATTTAATAAGAGTTACAAATAGATTTATTTAAATTCACAGATGGAATATTCTAAATTTTTACACTAATAATTAAAGCCCTCAAGGATGTGTAGCATTAACCCTCAGAATCACATTTCTGAGGTAATTGAGTTTAGATGTTTGAAAAAATCCTAAAACGAAAAATTCCAAAATGATGAGGTGACAGCCACATCTACAGGTAATGTTCAAAGAGCAAAAATATTAACACACTCTTATTCATATGATTTTAGGATTTCTTCAAACATTCTTACTCAATTACCTCATTAACACAATTCTGACAGTTAGCACTATACTTCCTGAGGGCTTCAATTATTAACTGGTCAAGTAATAATTTGGTTACTAATTGTGAAGATGGTTATTAATGGGCTAGCAAATGCAACAAGTGATTCAGGAATTATCTATTTATTTCAAAATAAAAATTAATAAAAGCTATACACAGCTTTAGGGGTTGCTCTGAAAAATTTTAAAATATTGCCAACCATTTTGCCAGTTTAAAATTTTTTTTGCCATTTCAAATTTTTTATCGCTACCAGTTTTACTAATTAATGAAGGTGCTGGTAAACTTATCAGTTTGGTATGTGGAAAATTAAAATAACATGTTAAGCTGTAACTTAAAATGTGAGGGCCAGGCGTTCAAGTCACTGATTTGAATGAAACTTGAACATGAACATGTAGCCTTAAACACAAACATCTCTTTGTCCAAATAATAGATATTTGAACTGGTGACCCAAATGCCTGGTCCTCTACTTGTTAGCAATAGGAATCATTTTTGAATAATTTTTTAATGAATAATTCCAAATGATACATTTGATCACAATGTTTAAATATGTTCTGTCATATCAAAATTTTTGTTTTAGTCTATTGAAAAAGATCAAAGTGAAAAAAAGTCATCCCAAAAAACATCCCCAAATTTTCTGTCAGTCAATAAAAAACATCCCCAATTTGGAAAATGCTGGGTAACATTGCATGAAAACTGTCTTTAGTTTTCAATATCACTTCCTACTCTTCTGCTTGAACTTGCCACATGACATCATGAAATTGCATGGCACATTATCACATGGGATATGAAATTGCATGGCATCTTATCACATGGGAGCTAGACATTCTGCTGTTTTTCCTGAAGTGTGCTTTGTGATTCAATTTCATGCTGAATGTCAAAATAAGCAGACTTAGAATTTTTATCGCCACTTACTATTTCCAGTATTATATTTTTATTGCCACTTTATTTAATAAAAATATCACCAAGTGGTGACTTTGGCACTATGCAGTGCGCAACTCCTGTAGCTTATTTCAACTATTTCTGTTAATCAAAATTTAATAATTTGATATTTATTTTTTAAATAATTATTATTATGCATAAAGATAATTTATAATTATCTTTATAAACTTAAAACTAATATTTAAAAAAAATTAATTGTTGAATTTTTTTAAAAAATGAATATATAATTTTCTTTAAATACTGATAAATTAAACTGCTTAAATTTTTTGTAGTAATAATAATTGAACTGATATATTTATTGAATGAACTCACCATCTTTTATTCGTTTTTGTACTTCTGGAGTTAATAAGGCCCAACTTTTACAATGTACCACATGATTAGCATTATGTATTAAAAATCTTTCACACTGCCTTTGAATCCTATGTAATAAGTCTATAAAATTCTGTTGGAAATTTAATGAATCAAACAGATGATTGTACTTTAGAAGATATACAAGAATTTTTATAAATAAATAATTCAATCTAAATCTTACTTGTGTCCACCTTCCTGATTCTTGACTGTTTTCAGATTCAGCAGCAGGAAGTATTTCACTTATCTTCACATAAGATTTGCAAGCAATATCAGGACTTAAAATTTCTACTGCAGATAAAATACTATCTTCAAGTGAGGTTACATTCCAGCTTTGACCCTTTTATAATTTAAAATCGTATTTAAAAATTTCTTGCCATAATAAAAGTGATATTTATATTTTTATAAAAGTTTATTAAATTCAATATCAATAGATGTAATGTCAATAATATATCAAATGACAAAATAACAATGTTATTTTCCATAAATTTTTAGTTATTCTAAATTACAGTGAAAATATTTTACTGGTAAATCATTTATTTTACATTGTTTATAAATGATTTTTCTTTGTAAAAAACTTTGATACATTAATCTTCCAATAATTCTGGCTTCTGATTATTTCATTATTTATCAAAACTTTTGTAAGCATTCTCTGTATATAAAAAGAATTTGTATATATTAATTTACTGTGTGTGTGTGTGTATAATATTGTTATTGATGGATAATTTAACTAGGTATTTTTCTCACATTACTTTGGGCTTGATTGATATTCTAAAAATTATAATAAAAAAAAACAGAATAAACAATAAATTTACTATTTAGATTAGATACTGAAATATTTAACCTGCTGCTAGTCAAATTGCCAAAAGTTTATAATTTAAATTTGGCAAAAAATTTTTCATATTGTTTTGCTAAAAGATGATAATCTATTTCTCAAGAACTATGCATTTCAGTATGTAACTTTCCAGCACTCTTATTTTGCCATAAACCCAATTTGGTGACAAAATAATATACCATGCTTAATTAATACTCAACATTCAAAGCAGAGATGTGTACCAATTAAAGCCTTGATTCTACTTGCACATTTCCAATAGTAGCAGCAAGCAGTCGCAATGGTTACTATGGAAACAATCCAACAAGGCAGCTCTCTAACTGTTCACTGTGTCTCTAAGGAAAATTCCAATGTGCTGAATATTGCCACTGCCACTAAGACTCACCACTTTTGATAGCCAATAAAATGATAGCATATATCTGACATCAGAACAATAGATCTAGGGTCAATGTGGGTAAATATGAGACACTTTTCAAAACTTTTGTAACAGCATTTGTTAGGATCAATATTTTCCAAAGAGAAATGCACAACAAGGTCTACAGATGGTGTTAAAATCTAATGGAGTATCTAATGGAGTTTTTTTCTGTAGGTAGAGAAATGTTGAGCAAAAGATTTTTTTCGCTGTCTCATATTTTACCTTTTGAAGGTAAAATATTATATACACCCAGACACCGAGACACCCATTATATCACCATAAGGACTTGCCTATACCAACAGGGAGGTTAATAATGAGGTACTACAGGTTAAATGTAAGGCATTTTTGTATAAAACATTGCTCCATGATATTTAGAAGTAAGTAGATAAGATTAAATATTTATCCGTTTTGAAAAGTGTCTCATATTTACCCACATTGACCCTACTTTTTAGTTTTTCTCTGATAATTGTTTGGTATCTTTATTATTCCATTCAAAGCTCACACCTATAAGAACAAAGAAATATTTTTACTATGGTAAAGCACAACTAAAGTAAAGTTTCATGGAAAGTAATGACTAGTGAATAAAATTTGGTGTGTCTCATTTTTTATCTCATTTTGAAATGCACAAAACTCAGACAAATGATGATATATGCAATAAAAACAACTAGTAGCTGAAAGCTGTGTTTATATACTACATACAAATTTCTAATTAAATATTCATGTCTTTTGCAGACTATACAGAGCAAAAGTTAGTTGAACTGACAGAAAGTTTTTGCACCTATTTTTGTAGTGTTTCTTAAAAATTAAAAAGACTCAATGAAACCATAGTCATTTTCATTCAGAAAAGTTATATGTTAAAAAGCACTAAATAAACTTTATTTTGAAATTAGAATATAGAAAAAATATATTTCGGACTATACATATAATTGAGTCCATCTTCATTTGTCCCTTCACACGTTTTGCAGAGGCAATAACAAATTTATGGCGATACCGACCTTTTATTGGAGGCTACATGTTCGCCATCCAATGTAAATGAGTTAAAAAGTCCTCTAGTGGTGGCCAGCACTATTATTAAATAAATAAATACATTAAAAAATTTGCCAGGACAAATTCACATATAACATATAAACTTTATTTTGTATTAGTACATGACAGATCAGACATAGATTAAGTCAAATTTCACAACTGTCTCATATTTACCCAAATCGACCCTATTCCATGCTTGGAAGTGTAACATTGCATCTACCGTTACTGGCCAATGTGTTGGTGTTTCCAATTGGTTTGTTTTGCATAGCTACCAACAATACCACTTTTGATGAAATAATGTATTCCATCTATGCTCCAAATATTTGCTGCTATCACTCATCACTGCCACTGGAACAGGAAAGTGAATCAAGGCTTAAAAGTTATCAGTGGTGGTAGAAATTTTATCAGCAGCACACACCAGCTTGACAGGCTATGAGCATCAACATTTCCAAGTTTAAAAATACTAAATTTTTAAAAAGTAATAAACTCTAAAATAATAATAATGCATAATCAAACAACTGCTTTTCCCATATAACAATCTTAGATAATATTTATATTTTTAAAATTACCAGAAAAGTTTAAAATCAAACTTAAGTTTATGACTTTATTTTAGACTTTCTTTCAAAATGTATATACTGTTGTAAAATTTAAAACAAAAACAGTGTTTAACTCTAATGACAGCTTTTCTAGAAGTGGAAAGATTTGGACTCTATTGTAGATAATGATAAACAAGTGCTAGTGTCAGAAAGAAAGATGAAGGATGAAAATAATAGTAAATGCAAAGGCTGCATAAGTCAGATATACCTCCTAATCCTCAGAGGCTCATTGAGCATAAAGATAACCAAATATCAATCCCAGCTTTTTAAAGGTAAAGATAACATTAAAAAAAAAAAAATGCTACAATTTTGTTTTCCTACACACAACTTTTCAGCATAGAAGTAGATTGGCAGGTAGCCAAACTCATCCAAACTGTTTCTCACAACTCCTACCTAGAGAGGTGCAAAATTCATAACTACTCTGTTATCAACACATGCATAAATAGCAAGGACAAGGATTCCCTGCTCCCACCTGGTAATATCTCCTCACTCTTTCACATTAACTGGCACTATCATAGCCTGTTTACTTTATTGGAGATAATGATAAGATATATTGAATTGGTTTCCTAAATATATTTTATATTTAGGAGACCAATTCTATTATTGGCAATATATATTGTTGATGTAATCAGCATGGTTTTTTGGAAACAACAGATATGCCTGGTTAATGTCATTTGTTGCTCAACAGAGTTACCAGTTACACTATTATTATTAGGTTCTAATGTAATTTTAAATGACACCTAATAGAATAAATTTATTTTTTATCAGCAATTATTTATTGTGACATTGTCACAATGCCGGGGTGCAATGTTTAATCATATTTTTAATTTATTTAATTTAAAATATATGCTCTCCACCTCAGATTAGTAGTGTCTTGCTCTTGTATATCATACTTTTCCTTTAACAATAGAGTCAAGCTGGTGATCTATTAATTAACTGCTTTCAGAGAAAAAGTTTTGAATTGAAATAACATGATTTCCAGTTTGCATTGGAAGTTCAAATATAGTTAATCAGGGCTTCCTGCAACTAAGGTTTCCATATCTGCTATAGAATTTTATCTATCTAACACCATTCTCAAAATTAAGGAAAGACAGATGAATGGATGACAGTGGAAATTTATAGGTCAACAATTTTTTCAAATTGCACCCCAATAATCCATAATTTTAACAAAAGATTGGTCCTCCTCAAAAAAAAAAATTTGACTTTAGTTGGAATTCTGTTGTTGGCATCAGAAGAAAAAGTACAGAGAACTACAGTGAAATACAATGGAACCTCGCTTAATGAGCACCTCACACAACAAGTAATTCGTAAAACAAATTGTAAAAAAATGACTTGCTTAATGAGTGACATTCACATAACAAGTGATGAGGAGAGGGGAAGTCCTGGCTTTTGCACATGCTCCATCAGTTTGTACTTAGCACTTGTTCCACTAGCATCTTAGTGTCATTTGTGATCACACATTTTTCCAAATTTGTGTTCAGACATATTACATATAAACATCAACAACCATAGCCCGTTATATAATAAACACGCCAAACGATATACCAAATTAAAATATAAATTTTCGTCTACAAGTACGTATCTTCTAATATCAGGACTTATTATACTGGGCTTTACAGATAATGCTACAGAGTTTCATAGAAAACAATTTTTTATTTCATTTAATATACATTTTATTTTAGATATACCAAATTCTTGGGCTATGTAAAGGCTATAATTGAATATTAGAAATTAATTAATTTGACTAGAGGTGGGCAGTTATGCTGCCATCTTGTATTAAATTTAATGACCAATTCCAAATTAAATTTTAGAAATGTCTAAATTAAAAATTAATTATTTATAATTATTAGATTTAATACAAGCAAAACGGTAAAAACCATAGCAGTAGGCAGTCAAATTAATTAATTTCTAATATTTAATTATAGCCTTTACATAGCCCAAGAATTTGGCATATTGTTTGGCATGTTTATCATATCCAACATATTAGCTGTGATTTCTTTTTGTTTTCTGCAAATCAAATTTGCATTACAGGTTGGTTCATTCCATGCGAAAAGAAAAGACGATGATGATTCATGGTCCTTAACAATACATATTGTATAATTTTCTTTGAATAAACGTTATACATAAAATATTTGAGTATTTTTTTGGCATGGAACGCATTATCGTATTTTACATAAATTTATATGGGAAAAACTGTTTCACTTAACAAGTGTTTCACATTACGAATAAGATTCTGGAATGAATTATACTTGTTAAGTGAGGTTCCACTGTAATTATAGAATTCATTATTACATTGAAATAAACAAATGCTTTCAGCTTGTAAGCATTAGAATACATATAGTCATTATTAGGTACTGTACGGTACAAGAGAAAAATACTATTATACAGATCATCAAAAAATGGAGTATCCAGCATTAATAGATGAATATTCCAATTTTTCAATTTCTGTATAATAGTATGCTTCTTCCTATACATAATAAATAATGACCAGATGAATTTATGATTTAAGAAAATATAGTTAGAATTTTTTTACTTGAATTAGTCACTTTTTGTACCACTATTAACTTTTATATATACTGCTACTTTTAATTCCATTTTATATATTTCAAGACTTTCTTTCATTTAATTTTTCAGAAAAGATCATTATTCGATTTAATCATTCCGTCATCGAATATACAGACCTGAAGATGATCTCCAATTGCAGATAAAAAACATTAGTCAAAAAAAACTTTTTTGAATTAAACATTACTGGAATATAATTTAATGCTTTTGAGTGAAGTGTTTATTAAATTGCTCCAGCCCACTGCAGTTGTCAGAATTAGTAATGTGGCCCTCCTCTTGAAAAGTTCAGGGACCCTGATCTAAACTATTTCTTAGGAATGATGAAAATTTTTCTAAGCATTTCCATGTAATAATTAAAGTTACTCACAACTACTGTTCTCATGTTATATAAAAAAATTTAAAATTCTGCCTGAGTAATGAAAACATCCTTATTTTAAAAAACTAATTATAAAAATTAAAATTATTTTTTTCCATCTATGTATGTATTTTAATATGAAAGATATAAATTCCAAAAAGTAACTTGATTAAGTAAAATAGAATATATACAGTAATTTAATTTTTTATTAACTTCTAAATTAAAGCATTAGAA